TTCTTGGTCTCTTACAAGGTCATGCAAATTTTTCAGGTTGGGATAGCTGGAGTTCCGGGGGATTCAGTTATGAAGAAAACAAAAACGTTGGAGGATAATTGGGTACCAGCTTGGGATGAGGTATTTGAGTTCCCATTAACGGTTCCAGAGCTGGCTCTACTGAGATTAGAAGTGCATGAGTATGACATGTCAGAGAAGGATGATTTTGGAGGACAGACATGCTTGCCTGTTTGGGAGTTGAAGGAAGGAATAAGAGCGTTTCCTTTACATAACCGCAAAGGAGAGAAGTACAAATCCGTCAAGCTTCTCGTGAGGTGTGAGTTTGTGTGATACGGTATTGGTTCAAAAAATCACTTTTAAACTGAGTTTGTGAATTTGGGTTCAAAGGATTTGGTGTGTGCATGTGTGTGAGTTTGTAACATGTCTGAGAGAGTGATTGTTTTATTTGTTGTGTGTAATATATGTGTGTACAGTAAAAAAGGCAAGAGAGATTGTCTCGTCTGCTGTGTTGTATTTCATATAGTAGCTGAAACTCTCCTGTAATACTGTATTTGAATCTATTCAATCATGGTTGTGGAATTTGTGTGTTTACTTCTTCTTGTTTACCTTTAATCTAAGGATTAATACTTTTCAATCTTAAATATTTACGAGCTTTAATCAGTAATAAATATGTTTGTAAATTGTACTGAAGTAGATGGCATATGGGACATACATGTTACACAATGTGTAAAAACTAAAAAAAAAAAAAAAGAAGATAGTTTGAATAAGGCATGCTTCCATTTCACTGGGTTACACTTACAAGTAATAGAAGATAATGATGTTTTCATTTGTTGATATTTTTTTGAGACAGTGAAACGAAAGAACAATTATAATACAGAGAAAAATGTATTTCATGTTAGTCTACCATCCAGAAAAGGCAAATACAGAAAGGATGAGAGAAGAGATTATCATGACTATAGAAATTCCTGGGAAACAGGAGGCTTCTCCTGACTGTGTACTTGTCTGTGTGGACACCTCTGAATCGTAGTGTAGGGAGGTGGTGAAGGCCGCAGAGAGCGTCATTGTGGCGAAAAAGACCAGCGCTGTGTAATGATTGGTGGAAGCCATCACTGTTTACTGAATCTCACCTTGCGTTAGGGGGTGTTAGTGGGAGTTATATTTATATAGAGTTTGTTGATTTTAAAAGTTGATGGATTTGTTAAATTTGGAAAGAGTTGTAGAGAGTTTTGTATATTGTAAAAGTTTGTGAAAATAAATTGATATAATGATTCTAAGAATCTAAAGTATATAGGTAGTATTTTCAAAATCTTGTGTTATGAGTAAAATGATGAAGAATACAACTCCCAATAACACCAACTTTAATAGATTTAAAGAATCATTAAAATTTAAACTTTTTGAATAACAATGGATTGTGCATAGAGTTACTAAATCATCAAACCAATAACACTAAACTTTAATGAGAATCTAACAATCTATAAACCAATAACAGTAGATTCTAAAATTCTGAGAATCATTATAAATATTAGTCCCACTAACACCCCCTTAGTCTTTTTTGGCTATGACCAATTGTCTGGTTTTTATAGGGAAACAAAAAAGTTCGTGGGGGACGTGTGGAGCATAACTGTAGCCGTTGGAGAATAGCGATAGAAGAGCTTAATAAGAAAGCATCATTATCAAATAATCTTTCTAATTTGAGTTTCTTACAATTATTATTTCAAAAACTTAATATAATTTTGTTACACATTTAATATAAGGTTGAAAAATATCATCCAGTTAGAAAGTGTCAAATGGAGTAATTGTTTCCCAAATTTGTTAGATCATTTTATTCCTCTAACTTTAGTTAAGAGATTCTGATATTTTGCTGCCGATGCAGATGCTTCAAAGTCATCGAATTTCTCTCAGAGAATTTCTTCATATATATTAATTAATAATATTTTTAGTGAGAATTTTTTTATGATCTACCATCATCAAGATCAATAATTGTTTATGATCTAACATCATCACGATCGATTAATAATATTATAATAAAAATATATTGGGTGAGATTGTTTAGTTGAGAAATTTCCAATGGAAATAGAAGCACCGAAATTTAATATAATTTAACAATCAAGGTTTAAAAGTTTCTACATTCAGATTTGAGGTTTGAATTCAAGACTACCTAATTCCTACATTAAAAGATTTGGATTTCAATTTTTGGAAAAGACAAATTATGCAGATTATTAAAGAATATTTATAAAAGATCTTCAGCATGCATAAAGAGTACTGTCAGGATTGATTCTCATAGGAAGGCTCAAGATGATGTAATAAGACTTGAATCTACATAAGACATATATAATTATCGGTTGTAATTAATATTTCTAATGTATAATTAACCAGTATCAAAAAAAAAAAACTTCCAATGGAATATCCTGACAAGCTGTTGAACAAATTCCACCAAGCAATGGAGAGAGGATTGAGGTGATCACTTCGGACTTCTTGAAATTAAAGAGATTGATTTAGTGAAAAGGCGAATATGAGCCCAGTGAGATTTTATAAGCCCCAATGGGTTTTTGTATGTAACAGATACTATTCCCTGGAATTTTTGTTCCCTTTCTTCTTTTTGATAACTGTTTGGTTATTAGACATAGTCTGGAATAATTCTTATGGTGTTCTTACGTACGTCGATATTGATTTAGATAAGGTTCCTCGGCCCTTAGTGGGTGAATATCGGAAACTTTGCTTCACAACTATATGTGCTTTGCACAATTTACAGTCGTGTAACACTGTATTTGAATCTATTTTTGTGAGAAAGGAATATGTTTGTATGCAAGTAGATGGTAGAAAGATGGGACATGGATGCTACACAATAAATGTAAAAAAAGAAATAAGATACATTGAAAAACACATGCTACCAATTCCCTGGTCGTAATAATGTAATAAAGCCTTCCATAACCAACTCATGTGAATGGTAATTTCAAACGTAAGAACATTTTAGGATACAATGAAAATGTATTTGTTGTTTGGTCTACCATCTGAGAATGGCAAATCCCGAAAGGATGAAAGAAGAGATGATCATTATTATAGACATTCCTGGAAAACATGAGGCTTCTCCCGTCTGTGTAGACGACTCTGAATCGTACTGCGCTGAGGCGGTGAAGGCAGATGAGAGCGTCATTGTGGCGAAAAAAGCCATCGCTGTGTAATGATTGTAGGAAGCCATAGCTTTTTCTCAATCTGACCTCTCAAACAAAACAAAACAAAAAACTATGCCACTAACCTTTGGCTTTCGGCTATTACCAACTATCTGGTTTTTATAGAGACAACAAGTGTTCGTGGCGACGTGAGGAGCACAATAAGAAGGTGTTGAACAAAGTCCATCAAGCAATGGAGGAGCATTACCTCAAACTCTCAATGCTCAAAGACAAGTTCAAACCCAAAGGGTGGTGAGAAATTAAAGTTGGATTAACTCAAAGCCCGATTAAGAGAGCTTGAGCCCAGTGACAGTTTATTAGGCCCGAAGGGTTTCATGATACTATTGTAATGATGATCAGTTTCTATGCAACATATTGGTTTGGTGTTTCAAAAAAAAAAAAAAAAAATGCAACATATTGGTATGTCTTTTGTTGACTTTCTGTTTACTAACTATAATTTCCGACACATGGTTTTATGTCATTCGATATGTTTTGTTTTCTGCTATGCTTCTGCATTTGTCGGGGCATGAACGAATAAGTGATCGTCGTAAAGTATATTTTACTGTCGGTAAAGCCATATATCAATTTTAGATAGACGTATCATCTTTAATTTGTCACTATAATTGCCAAGAATGAGTCGGCTTGTGATTTGCTTGTTATAAGAGAACTAGATTTGTCTGCCATTTATATACAGAACAAGGGTAAAGAATCGAATTTAGTTAGCTTCGGTATGTGCATGATGCGTGCTTTAATTAAGATGTAGACTTGTAGTATGAATGTATGTTCTTTACCTCATCAACACTATGATTTTATCTATCTTTATCAGTTGAGTAGGGCATGATTTTTTTTTCCTTAGAAACGTTTCAAGATAATGGTTCTATACGGTTTTTTATGTCACGTGGAATTTATGTGAAATTTCCCTAAAATGAATCTAAATGAACAGAGAATGTTCATTCACCTTGCACCCATTATCTTTATTTTCAAGATGATTGTGTGCTTTAATATGGAGTATCAGTGTCTCATCAACACTTTGATGCTATATATCTTTTACCATTTGAGTAGGGCATGCTTTGTTTTCTTACAAACGTTTATTTGATGCACATTATGGTTTTATACTGTTTTCATGTCACGTGAAAATTTATTAAAATCCCCTAAAACTAATCTAAATGAACAGAGAACAGAGAGTGTTCATTCACCTTGCACAAATATTCATCTTACGTTTTGATTTTCATATCCTCTCTTTATATATATGCTATATGCTTTTGATGCTATTATATTTTCTTGTCTCATCGATTCTATAATATTCTATCATGTTCCATATATTTGTCGAAGGATATCTTCAATCGCTTATAGATATTCTTTATTTATTAGATTCGGTTGATTGTATCGTAAAGTGGAAGTTGCTTCATAATAAACATGTCTTGTATAACTGCTTGCTTTTTTGTCGGCAATACAATATTACTTTCGATAGTGAAAATTGGTTATTAGTTGTTGTTTAGAAAGAAATAAAATTTAAGAGAACAAAATTAATCAAAAAAAATACTCGTAAGCTTAAACCTCATGTAAGTCTATGTATATTTGATGCTTGAAACACACGTGTGTGGTGTGGGGGTGAGAGAGAGGTTGGTCTTGTTCTTGTCTTTGACTCTAACCAGTCTTTTTCGTTGTTTTTTTCTTCACTCTCAAGTCTATCATCATGTGTTTTAACGAAGACATTTTTATTTGTTATTTTTATTTTTATTTTATTCTCCTCTTGCTTCTTCTTCACATCCCTATTTCTTCTCTCTTTCTACTCTACCCATCAATCCCAACAAACACTTCTCTCTCTCTGTCTCCTTTTCATATCCATTACACATATTCATATCATTCCAAAGCAATCCCCACAAATCATATCATCTTCTCCATCCATCCATCCTTCTCACAACTTCTCCAAACTCTAAAATCTCTCTTTGTGTAGTCTTGCTTCAAAAAGACTCCAATGATGATGAGGAATCCGGACATTACTACGATCAAAGACAAGAACAAGGCAAATAGTGCATGTGGTGGTAATAACAACAAACCAAAGCTAAGAAAGGGACTTTGGTCTCCTGATGAAGACGAGAAGCTCATAAGGTATATGTTGACCAATGGACAAGGATGTTGGAGTGACATTGCTAGGAATGCTGGTCTCTTACGTTGTGGCAAAAGTTGTCGTCTTCGTTGGATCAATTACTTGAGGCCTGATCTCAAACGTGGTTCCTTCTCTCCTCAAGAAGAAGATCTCATCTTCCATTTGCATTCCATTCTTGGTAACAGGTAAATTTTTTAATGTAAACTTAAATGCAAACACCTACGTTAGATTTTTTTTTTTAATGAATGTTAAATTTATTCAACCCAAAAGTTTTTTTTTACAAAGAATGCCTCTTGAATCTAAATATACTCTAGTAAAAAAAATGTAATTGCTACGTTAGATTTTAGAGCAACCTGAGTCTTGGAATTAATCTTATATTTGTTCATATATAGCCATTTTTGTGGAACAAGTAACTCTATTTTCATATCTTTTCACATGTAAACATTTTCAAAGTTTGCAATAGTTTGGGGGTAGAATGATTCTTATATTTATTGGTAATAATTTGAATCCTATAATTTTATTTATTAGGTGGTCTCAAATAGCTACTCGGCTCCCAGGAAGGACAGACAACGAGATCAAAAACTTTTGGAACTCGACATTGAAGAAAAGGCTCAAGAACAACAACACTTCTTCAGGTTCATCACCTAATAATAGTAATAGTAACTCTTTGGAACCAGTAGATCAACATGTGGACATGGGAGGCAACTCAAATCCAATGATGGATAGCTATCATCATCAAGATGACATGATGATAGTGGCGAACACCATGAGCATGGACTCTTCTTCATTCAGTTTTGCACCCTTGGTTAGTGGTGTGGGCTTAAACTGTCTTGATCATAATCAATATCAACAAATGGGAAACACAGGGAACAATGTTAATGGGTTAGGAGATTATGGAAGCGCAATTCTTGATCCGATCAGCAATAGAGCATCAGTAGAAAGTGAATGGTTTCTTCCCCCTTCGGATAATACCAATATCATTTCTTGTTCCACAAGCAACAACCTAAACTTAGAAGCCCTTGATCCTTGCTTCAGTAGCAAAAATATGTGTCATGCAGAAAGCTTCAAAGTAGGGAACATTATGGGTATGGAGAATAGTTCTTGGGAAATAGAAAACCCTAAAATGGGAGATTGGGATTTGGATAGTCTCATCGATAACAACTCTTCTTTCCCCTTCCTTGATTTTCAAGTTGAATGACAAATATCCTCTCTTATTCTATCTTCTTTTTACTCATTGGTCCTTATTCATTCTTCTATACATATCTTTTTTTTTTATCACTGAAGGTATATTCATCTCTATTCTAAGAGTAATTTTTTCTTTTTGTAAAACGTCTCCTTTCCATAAAATTTGGTCTATTCTCTTCTTGTCCCTTATTTTTCCATCACATGTCTATTATTCACAATAAGATTGTTCTTGGAAGGGAGAGGTATATGCATATACAGTTTATATCTACAGGACGAGGAACTAGTCACCATGCATGGTTCCTTTAGTACATGAAACGTGAATAGGAAGGCGCATTGAGACTTTATTTGCTGCGGAAGTACTTAAATAATGATCGATGGTCCACGCAATGAGTTGATTAGTTGGTTTATTTGTATAGCTTTCTCTTACTTTTTCAATTCTTTTTTTGTACAAATCCGAGTTTGATGTATAAAACACGGTTTCGTAATAAGAAAGCATTATATCATTCATTCTCTCTACCAAAACTTGGAGTTATATTTACTAACAAAAAAGTCTATTCAATTGTTTGAGATATTGTAAGAAATATTCAGAATCTATCTGTTTTCATCAAAGCTACAAAAACTTTATCACCTTAAAATTAGATTTACAAAAATTGACTTGCTTTATTGGTATGGTTATTGGTTTAGTTGGAAAAAAATTATTAATGTTACGTTGAAAGTTAGAGATGTCTACTTTGTAAAAAGAAACATTTAAAACGTATACTTAAAGAAACGGACGTAAAGTGATACTCAAATGTGTCTTGGAGTTAAATAATGTCTTATCATAATGAAAACAAGTATTTATATCATAAATGTTTGATTTTCACCAAAAAAAAAAATCATAAATGTTTGATTATGAGTTGGACTTGAGGTGAACTTCGTATGGAAAAAAATGACTTCATGGGCAGCCAATAGAAGTATCAAGCCCAAAAGAAACATTATGAGTTCGGTTTGGTTGAGTCGGATTTTGGTTTGATTTTAGGGAACCCTTGATTTTTTGAGGTTCAAGAAATTCGTTCCTTTTGATAAAAAAAATAGTTAAAAAAAAGATTTATTTCCTTATAGTTGATCAATAATTTCTTGCCCATAAAATAACTGAAACAAAACTAACTATAAAGAGAAGTTTCCTAAGATGAACTTTAATAAAATAAACTTTTGTATAATTCCGGTATTACACAAAAAGCTAATAATATAGTTGCCTAGGTAGAATGATTGGTTAAGTAATTATCACCAATATATTTAAACTTAAGCGTGAAGGGTATATTTGATTACAAAAACAACAAACCCAAATCATGACTTGTGTAATTATCATTTTCTCCACCATATCATTAAAAACGCCATAATTGATGCTTAATTTACTCTACATCAGTGAAACTTTTTTTGAGAGACACATCAATCATATGATTCGTATGTATTTCTATTGAAAGTATATATGAACCCATCGATCATAGCATTTTCTGTCACATTCATAAAACCAACCCAAAAAAAGCATAAGGGACACTAGGTTACTAATTAATGGAGAAAAGAGAGGAGGAACATTACTCAAACTACTTCGTCCAAAGCCCTTCATCGGGTTTCCACGACCCGGAATCTGAATTCCAGTCCCCATGCCAATATGACTCAGTGCCATTGGTCTTAGTCCGCCTCGATGAATCGCCTAAGTACTCAGATTTCTTGAAATACTCTGATAACAAATGTGTGTTTGAGAATGATGATGAAAAGAGGTTGATGCCATTGCGGAGCCCCAAGTCGGGTTGGTGGATCGTGCTACAAATTCTGTGGAGGTTTCTGTTTAGCTTTGGAGTGGCATTGCTTGTCTTCTACATTGCTACTCAGCCTCCTCATCCTGACATTTCTCTTAGAGTAATATGCATATTCTCCTAATTTTCTGGTACCAGTTTTTTTTTTAAAAAAAAAAGCAAACTCATCATGTTGGTCTAATAGTCGAAATAAGCATCTAGTTTTTCCACTGGGTCTCAATCATTGTGAATCTTTTTTTAAATGACATGAATCTTGGATAAGATCTGATGATTAGTATGAGTTTTGGTTCTACATCTCCAAAAATTATGAATCTTGAAAACATGCAACATATATAGTAGTTGTGATTTTGCAATAAATTTGTTAGGAAAATGTAACAAATCTTCATTATTGCAAAAATATTGCAATAATCATAGCTAATTAGTAACATAAATTGATGTTGCATTTTTTTTGTTGCAATATGACATTTTTCTTGTAGTGTATATTTGTTTACTCTACCTAAAATGTAAGTAATTTCACAGATTGGAAGAATCAATCAGTTCATATTACAAGAAGGTGTGGATTCACATGGAGTGACGACTATGTTACTCACTTTCAATTGCACTACCAATCTCATAGTGGATAACAAGTCTAATGTCTTTGGTCTTCACGTTCATCCTCCATCTATCAAATTCTTCTTTGGCCCCCTCAACTTTGCAAAGATGGAAGTAAGTCTTTTATATAATCCTATAAATATGTAACATTTAGTATCAACTCAACTTATATTATTCCACACTTTGGTTGTGTCTTCAACTAGGGAACTAAACTGTATGCCTCAAGCCATGAGTCAACAACGTTTCAGCTAGACATAGAAACAAAGAACCATGCAATGTATGGGGCAGGAAGAGAGATGGCGGATATGCTTCAATCAAAAGCTGGATTGCCTCTAATTTTACGGATGAACCTAATCTCTGACTTTCGAGTTGTCTGGAATATCATAAACCCTAAGTACCATCACAATGTCGAGTGTTTATTGTTTCTTTCAAATATCGGGAGACACAACAACCAAGCTAAAGTGGTAAGAGAAAAATGTAAATTGGTATCTTAATTTATCAGAGATTTTCCTCCCTAAAGACATTTACAAGTACTGGAATCATGCAAATGAGATGCCATGATGAACTTGCAATGGAATTTTGTGTGTATTTATTTTATGATCAGCTACATATATCTCCATCTTATCGAATCGTGATGGTGCATATATATACAGAACGAAAATCAATTTAACAAATCAAAATAGCAAACCAAATTAGAACTATTAGTTAGATGTATATACGTATACAAATTTAGTCTTTTCTTTTCTTTAGTTCACGAGAAAAAAAACTGAGAAAAATTTGTTTCCCATTTACATCATTTTCTTTAGTTATGAAACATCGTTCATATATGTCAATGTCTATACCGACAAAAATATATATACTATATTTTCTCAAAAATAATAATATATATATTATATAATGTCTATACCGAAAAAGCTTTTCCAAATATTTCTTGGTTTCATACTTCCCAACTAATCAGCTCATCGACAACTATAAACTCACTTGGGTCCATATATAGGAGCACAAATGTCTTCCCACCTGATAGGCTCCATTCTCCAAAAATCCATCAATTCATCCAATTGGTTAATATTAAATTAATTTATATGAAGGATGGGACTATTACAGAATAATTTGGCATCCTTAATCGAATATGCTACCCCCTCTTCTCTTATTAGTAGCCAATGAATGTCAATACCGTGCTATATCAAAGTTGATATTTAATATAGAAAAAGGATACAAATAAAGCAACCAGAAAAATATATAAATAGTTGTTCGTGCCACTGTGCGTGTAGACATAATGGTGTCATTCTGAAGTGTTGATGTCTTTGTGATTATATAATTTCCCAGAGACGTCATGTGTTTTTCTATATAATATTTAAGGCATGTACATTTCTACCTTTTCATGTTCTCTTTATAGAAAGTATTGTGTGTTGTCAAATAATTATATCTTTTGAATTTAGAGTGCGCATTACATGACTAAAATTTCAAAAAGAAGTTAATAAAAAAATCTAATATTTTCATCCACGAATCATTTTGCATTTCATCTGCCAATAGTTTGAGATATGAACCATATGATCAACGCATATTAAGATAGTATACTAATATTAAACATAGGATAAGTTATTAAAGTAGATGATTAGAAACGTGAGGTATGATCAAATGCAGTTGAATGGGTATCGTGATGGAAAAAATATTAGTAAGGTGAAGGCGCATAACAAGAAAAATATTTTTTACATGTAAATATAAAACTGTATTAACAAAGCGAAAGTAAAGACAAATGAATGTTAATTAAACTAAATGATGATTGTTGCATCTTAATTGGGAATCCTACGTAGCCAACTTTTGTTCATTTATTGTATAAACTGATTGGTTATCTGACGCATATCGAATACTTCCTATTCATACTCCACTTCTCTTGGCCGGGATTTTCGCTAGAGTTTACAAATTGTTGATTGCTTATCAATAATCTATCAGTGACTCAACGACCGCTTAAATGGTTTACTAATTAATATGATCCACTAATCCAGAGTCAGAATTGTTTTTATTTGATACGGGTAAAGCAAAGAAGCTTAGAACCAAATTTATAAAGAACATACGCGATTATGAACATGATTTTTTTTGGTTTGGCCAAATTCAGAAGCAATTAACTTAAGTGAGCTAGACGAGAAAAATAGTGATGTGTATCTTAAAAGGTTCCTGCGTGTTTAATGTTTGGTGTTACTTCCTATGATAATTGATCATGCCGTCCGTTTATCTTTATCTTATTGTATTGTAATAAAAAAAATGATGCAATTCCAAAAACTTGCATGCATATGTGTACAAACATATTATATAAAGTTTCAAGTATCTCGTAGGAAATTGAGAATATTGATATACAAGCTTACAAAGCTGCCAAACTAAGTAGCATTACAAGTATAATACTGCATTCCAAAGAAATGTAAATAAATGTCATTTTAGCATTTTTTTTCTTATTACACAAAGAATATCATTTTAGAGTTTCAATGCAATTTTGAGCTAAATATTAATTATAAATATATTGATTTTATAAATAATTTTATTTTTGGAAAATGTTATTAGTTGAATATATCTAATTAATAAGAATATAATGCATTCCAAATTTTTTTTAATATGTGTGAAAAATGTCAAAATAACATTCTTTCTTAAACGGAGGAAGTAATTTCCAGAGCTGAATTACCTAACATTGAACAAAAATTAATAATTTACATAAAGTAAAATAAAGTAGCATGTGGATTACTGTATAGATAAAGCAAAGTTTGGAGGATATGTGGACAAAAGTTATAAAAATAATATGAGTGGAATTTGTGTATAAATTGGAGCCCAATGTTGGCAGAAACACTTATTAAATTGGAGCAAGGTATTCCTATACTGGCACACGCCTATTGATTATCCAGTTTAAACTCTCTCAAACACTCGTATCACCACTCATCTTAGGTTCACGTGATTACTTATGTAAGCGTTGACTACATAAGTAAAAGAATCATGGAAGTGGTAATGTTGGTAGTGAAATTGACAGTATAGGAGTGTGAAATTGATATGAATGCTTCGGGAAAGATGGCCTTATTTCACGGAACAATTACACACAACGAAACGCACTGTATACAAAATACAAAAATCATCTGTGGTGGTCTGTGTTGCCATTTTTATGTTTGTTTTTTCAACTATCGCCTTCCTTAAACTAATATTCAAACACAGAACAATTATAAGTTTTTCTAACTGTCGAAAAATCTTTCAAATGATTAAACCTATATAATTGATAAAGTAACATTTTTGGAAACTAGTGAATTTCAATTATGAAAAATGTTTCACTTTTTTTAGTGGAAGATGTCAAAAATTAAATTAAAACCTAAATAGAAACTAAAATTCCTTCCCACTAGGATTAATACAAGTAATAAAATATTGAACGAAAAAAGGAGATCCTTTCACAATCAGCTTCAGTACCATAATTTGAGTTCATGAGGACCATATATTTCCTATTAATTTAATGAAACTTTGGAAAAAAAATGAATCGAGAAAGGAATCCAAAATTTTTATTAGAAATATACGATTTCATATCTATTTCCATTCAGTAATATTCATATAATTGGTGTATATGGTTGAAAGAGTTATGAAAGGGGACCTTTATTTATTCAGCAATATAGAAGAAAGAAATCAAACACTTATTTCAAATTAAATACCAAAGATATGCCTGCTCATCGCGTGTCTATAAATACACATACATTTGTACATACTCGCTAATATAAACACTCCCTTTAGTTATTCGATTCTTCGAAACACTTATGATATTTACAGACACGACAAATTAACACAGAGACAGTCTCCAAGGAGAAGACCGATCGATGACAGAAGCTGGTGATCTTACTTCAGTTCCAGCCAGCGTGATCAGGCCGATCCCATTTCTTGTTATTTTCAAAGATATAACGTAAGTGTGTTTATATGACATGGTGAATATTTGATTAACACTAGTAAAAAGGAGTGACGCGTAACGTTTATATTTATTTGAAATTGTAGACATGTATTCAGTATGGATGCAATCGGGCGAGAGCTACTAAGCATGGCGTTTCCGGCGGCTTTGGCTTTAGCTTCTGATCCAGTAGCCTCTCTGATTGACACCGCGTTTATTGGACGTTTAGGAGCGGTTGAGCTAGCAGCGGTTGGAGTATCCATTGCGATATTCCAACAAGCTTCTAGAATCACGATATTCCCAATTGTGAGCGTCACAACTTCCTTTGTCGCTGAGGAAGACACATTGGAAAAAATGAAAGAAGAAGAAGAAGCAAACAAAGCCAATCTTGTTCATGCAAATACTTTAGCTGTTCAAGATTCCTTGGAAAAAGGCGTTGCGTCAACCACAAGTAACAACAAAAACCAGCCGCAGCAAACGCCAGGTGAATCCCATTAATTTGCATTTGCTTTGACTAATTTTATTCAATTTTCGAATATACCTAGAATGAAACCTCTATAAATTAATAATGATGGGACTACACCAAAATTTTATTTTTTATTAATTTAGAGAGATGTTAATTTATATATATATATATACTAATTGAACCAAAAACTCAATTTTGGACTATAAAATTATATTAATTTATAGAGATATTTAATGTATATTAATTTATCGAGTATTAATTTATAAAGGTTCTATTGTATATGTTTATATGTGTCTGTTAAAATTAAACCCTTTTTTGGAGTCATAAACGTCGAATACAAACGGATTATTAGCTTTCAGTTTGTGCTTTAGCATTTATGTGTTTACACGTCTTTTGTAATTTAAGTTTACACTTAGCTAAATATCTTTTGAAAATATTGAACAGAGTTTACAAAAAAAAAATGTAATGAAAGCAACGAATAAATCTTGTTTTGTTTAGTTGATGTGAAACTAACTTCGGATACAAAGTCAAACAACGGAAACAAAGCAAATAAGAAAGGAAAGAAGACTATCAAATCGGCTTCAACGGCTATGATCATAGGGTTGACCCTAGGCCTTGTGCAAGCTATAGTCTTGATTTTTAGCTCGAAGGTGCTTATAGGCGTCATGGGAGTGAAACCGGTATAAAATTACATACATAAATAGACATGCACATCTAGTTGGATAGCCAAAAATGTTTGACTAATTTGAGTTCACTTCCGATGATCAGAACTCGCCAGTGTTATCACCAGCGCAAAAGTACCTGATAATACGATCATTAGGTGCTCCTGCATTGCTTCTGTCGCTTTCAATGCAAGGCATCTTCCGTGGCTTCAAGGACACCAAAACTCCTCTTTATGCTACAGGTAAGTTGCTAATTTTTTATCATCTTTAAATACCTTTCTTATTATAACATATTTATCATATCTTGAGCCTAATATAACATATTTCATATTGATATATACATGAAACAGTCGCATCAGATGGTCTTAACATCATTCTCGACCCCATTTTCATTTTTGTGCTTCGTCTTGGCGTCAGCGGTGCCGCCATTGCTCATGTTATTTCTCAGTAAGAGAAAACTCTCACTTTTTTTCTACTCATGCAAATGTTAAACTGAAACTAGTAAACCCAAGACTTGCTTTAATCGAGTCCCGTTAGGCGCATATATGTTTCTGAGAGAATTATATTAGGATTATATAGAGATTAATAGACTATGAACTTTAATCTCTAAAGAATAAAGAGTGTGTCACTATAAAAAATTCGATGAGACATAAATAATATATAAATGACTATAAATTAGTTGGGTTAATGCATTTATCTGCAATTGATTTTAATTTGAAAATTTAGGAAACTTAACATATTAGTCTAGATTTCAAGATTTCAATCTAAACGAACAAAAGTAAAACTAATTGTTTCGTTTGTGTGAAGGTACTTCATGCTTCTTATATTGTTCATCCGCCTCGCTCAGGAAGTTAATTTGATGCCACCAAAATTTGGAGACCTGCAGTTCGGAAAGTTTATTAGAAATGGTAGGGACGCATTTAATAAAGTTGTTTTTCTTGCAATGATCAAAGTAAAAGCTTATTATACCAAAAAACAACTGTTTCTAAAGTAACATGAAACATGATTTTGTTTGTTTTTCAAAATTTCAATTATCCTTCTAAAACATAAAGTATTTAAGTTCATAAGGCCGTATATGGTTTTACTTTTTTTCTTTAAGTAGTGACAAAAGTATTTATTAAAAAAAAAATAGTTATTAAAAAAACAAACATGAATGTGGTTTGTGGATATCTAACAAGTTTGTGCACACAAAAATGAAGGGGGATTAATGCTGGCAAGGACCATAGCTGTGACATTTTGTCAGACCTTAGCAGCAGCAATGGCGGCTAGGCTCGGAACGACACCAATGGCTGCATTTCAGATCTGTTTACAAGTCTGGTTAATGTCTTCTATGCTCGCCGATGGTCTTGCCATTGCTGGTCAGGTATAATCAACCATTATTTGATTTATCATGCTTGCATAGTGTATATAATATAGTTTGATCAAGTTACATAAAGAAATAATCATATAATTTAAAACTTTCGCAGGCGATTCTGGCTTGTAATTTTGCCGAAAAGGACTACAACAATGTGACTGCTGCTGCATCACGTGTTATACAGGTTAGATAAATCTTCATCTTCTTTCCTTCTTATAGTAATGATTCTAGAATGATACTAATTGGTCTTCTTAATCTTTAAAAAACTGTAATTAAAACAAATGAATTTGATATGCAGATGAGTATTGTGTTAGGACTTGGACTGTCAGTTGTTGTCGGACTGGGTCTATACTTTGGTTCCGGGGTATTCTCCAAGGATCCTGCCGTTCTTCATATCATAGCCATTGGGATACCGGTACTTATTTTACCATTAAACACTAACACTAAATACTATTGAAATAGATCCACAATGATATAAAAAATACTGTAAATAAAACGGATTAACCCTAGTAATTAATGGCTAATAAGAGTTTATGTTTTTTTGGTGGGAATACATCAGTTTGTAGCAGCAACACAGCCAATAAACTCACTCACTTTTGTATTGGACGGAGTAAATTTTGGAGCATCTGATTTTGCTTACACTGCATACTCCATGGTACAAACTATTTTCATTAATCAATATACTTTGTTATAAGTTGCGAAATGTTTATTTCTTAATTCTTTTTCGCATATTTTTCTTACATTTATTGTCTTCGTTAATGATAAATCAGGTAGGAGTTGCAGCCGTAAGCATTGCAGCAGTAATATACATGGCGAAGATCAATGGTTTTGTAGGAATATGGATAGCTCTTACGATCTATATGGGTCTCCGCGCTATTACAGGAATTGGCAGGTATTTTAGTTGGGCCTTTACGGAGCCCTATGAATTGTATTCAGCCCCATTATAGTAGATGACGCAGTCACGCAGTCATTGACTTGTGTGTAATTACGTACGCAGAATAGCAACTGGAACAGGGCCGTGGAAATTCTTGCGTGGACGAACCACTTCATCTTCCTAGGACCTGGTTATAATGAGATGCATCTTTTTCGTTTTTTTTTTGTTTCTATTTCTTGGGTTTCTTATGGTGTTCTCTTAAATAGTCTCAGATAAATAGTTGGTTCAAACGTTTATGTGTTTCTGCATATTAAGGAACCCTGCAGGCTTGCCTAGACATTTTTCTTGTGGAAAGGTTATTGCTAAGCTAGGTGCTTCAGGAAAGTGCCAACTTATCATTGGTGATTACCAAAGAACATCAAAGAAACTGTTATTGGTCCTTGGGGTTGTTAAATTTGTTGTTTCCTTCATAACTTGATGAGCACTGGTATACAGCTATATCAAATTTGTAAAATTTATGAACAATGTCAATGTCAAATTTAAAAACTCAATCTAACCAAATCTAAGTTTATATTTCTTAAATACCAAAAGGAAATTTGATTTGCATTTAAATTGTTTTCTAAGATTAAAGGTTCCCATGTTCTTTTTCAGTTTTAATATTTTTTTTTTTTTTTGGGAACTGTTTTCTAAAAGACTTTCAACTACTTCAACTTTTTACACTTTTATGGGGAAGATTTCAAAATTTTCACTTTAATTTAAATTTTCGTGTAGTGATAATTTACTCAATAGCTAATGGTTTTGTAGCACTTTTATTACTCTTTACTTAACTCATCAAAACTTATCATATCACAATATATATCATTAATTAACTACTATAATTTAATTCCAAAAGAAGCAAGACATACAAAGCAAATAACCAAGTCCATGAGCAGGCTAAAGCCGAGAGAATAAAGAACACATGATACAGTGGCCATAAAGCTTACAATCAAATCTAAGCAACATGAGAAACCACAATCTGATCAATGACAGGTCCACAGAGAGATCCCATATCCATTTTCTTGGTATGGTAATAACCACTGAAGAAAGTAATCCTAGTTCTTGCCTCAATCGCCTTGAACTTAAAACTTGCCATCTTAAAGTGACCTTTACCAACTGAAGTATGTGGCACTTTCAGTGTATCTTTGGCTGCAAAAGCCTCAACCATCATGGATCCGTGGCAGTCGTTTTCAGCATCTCCAACCGCAAAGGAGAGGCTGTAGGTTTGACCTGGTGATGTTCTAATGACTTGTGCAATGGCACTTTCTTTCCCTGCAACTAGCTCTATCGCGGCTTGTCCAAAGGGGACATTGAAGTACTTGTTGTCTATGAATTTAACTGCCTTGAGTGACTCTATGATCCATCCAGGTAAAGGTGATGTGGCATCTTCTTGTTTAGGTGGGAGAAGGACTCCTTGTGTTGAATTCACTAGACGGTGAGGACCTTCTTCAAATCCTCCGTTCTTCACTAAGTTTCCTGCATTTCAAGACAAACCGGTTTAGACCAAATCAAACCAAACCAAACCAAAGAGGTTAATAATAGTATATACCTTTGGTGTACATTGGATGAACAAGCTCTTTAATGGCAACAGCATCCAACAAAGGACCACAAGCTGGATCTTCTTGAACACCAGGGTTATGGAAAGTCACAGTAACTACAGAACTCTTGGCAACGAAGGCCCAAGCGTACACGTCACCACCGAAGCTGTTGTAGAGTGTCTGAAGCGGCAAGTCACCGGACTGAGGAGGGACAGAGACACGAAGGACCTCGTCTTGTGCACAAGTTCTCGACGCACCGAACGTGAGTGCGTAGAGAGAGCCTGGTTTGACTTTTATTTTCTGAGAGATCTTGGCTTCGTTACCGAGCCTCACGGCGTGGACGCCGTGAGCTACAGGGAAGTACATGCCTCCCGGTTGAGGACCGCCGGCTATGTACTCGACGAAACCGGTGGTTACCCATTCGGGTAAGGCGGTTTTGCCGAGTAGAACTGTTTTTTTCATGTCGGTTTTCTTTGGTGGCTCCTCGAAGTTACCATTACGAAGAAATCCTGAAGAAAAAGAAAAAAGCTTAGATCTACGTACATATGTTGAATCTTTTACTCCAAGAAACACTAAATCTTGATTCAGATTCCTAAGCAGAGTAGACCTATCTACCAAAGTGTGTATTTACCTTCATAAGCAGGAGCTCCAAGAGCAGCAGCAGATAAGACAAGTAAGAGAGGTATAACAATGGCTTTAGGCACAGCCATTTTCTTTTTTTCACTGAGAGAAGAGTTGAGTGAGGAGCTTCACTTCAGTGAGGGTTTGTGAGAGCAAAGACTATCTCGAGATGCTGCAACTTTATACAGGAAAAGTGATTTAAAACGAGTTGGGGAAGATAGAGAGATAGAGTAAATCACGTTGAAAGAGTCAAATGTAAATGGACCCCATTGATGCAGTTTGTCTGTATGTCTTGCTGAGCTATACCCTATTTTCTCCTTGATTCATGCTCTGTTTATTTCTTATTGGCACTTGTGCCCTGCTTTCACTGGTAGTAAATTTGTATAGGAATTGTTACGTTTCATAGTTATTATTAGAGGAATTGAGACAGATTAAAGGTTGTTGAATGATGCAAATTTAAGAACAGACATGAGAAGAACGGACTAGAAAATGAGTTAACATGTGCCTGTGTTAGCAAATACTCCCTCGTTTCGAAATAATTGTTATTCTAGAGAAAAAATTTCGTTTCAAAATCTAAGTGTCGTTTTAGAGTTCCGAGACAAAATTTATTAGTTTTATATGAATTTTTATTTTTCTATTAGTTGAAAAGTGGTTAGGTGTATAGGTAATTGTATTTATATCTTGAAAATGTGTAAAATTAAATGTTTTCTTAATCTGTGTATAAAAATCTAGAATGACAATTAAAATGAAACGGAGGAAATATTAAAGACCTACTACTTTACAATAAAAAAAAGTTGTAAACTACTACTTTATAATTTAAGACAGACCAAATAGTTTTAGGTCGGTAACAGATGAATTATTCCCAAGAATAGTATGAACTTAACCTAATAAATGCATTTCGAATCCAACTGTGTTTACAAATCTTTGGACAACAACACAAATATTCCATAATTGTTTGGCAAGTTCATATACGAAATGTTATAGGCCTTTTTATTCTTCTTAACGGGATTTGCGGCAGATGCAACTGTAATTATGTAGTTAAGAAGTGAGAGAAGGTGTGGAGAATACTGGCTTTGGCTCGCTGGTCGCAATAATAATTGAGGGTTTTAATTGAATTATCCTACACATATGGGCAAGAAAAACCAGATGCATGTGCAATATTTCCAATTATCTATGACTATAGGTTATGTTATTGTCAGTGAACGCATGTGACATCCATCACATAATTACGTTTCGATGGGCCCAAACTCCCATTTTTCATCTATTGATGAATATCCACACTAGTATGCCTTATATGCCCACGCGGTCTTGTTTGCAATTATTAATTTCCAAATACTCTTGTTTTACTTCTTTTTTTTTTTTCAACGGACTAAATTGTTGTAACCATAAAGTTTTACGAGGAATATTAGATGCAACAATATCACCTTTGTGACACTAGATATTATTATATAGATAGTCATAAAACAATGAAAACATAGATAAAGCTCATAAAAGTAAGGTAAGCTAGTTTAACAGATGCTTTGTATTGATGTTTTGTTTCTAAAAGGCCCAAAACTTAATATCAGATGGGCTCAGAAACAATGATGCTTCTAAAGCCCTATACATGTCCACAATAGAGGCTTTTGGCATAGTCATGTAACTTTCTTTTTTTTTCGAATTCAAACAAAGCTAGAGAAACAATATTTTTTTTTTTTTTAAAAACTCAATTTTAGGGCTTGATGATGAGACATAGTTTTGAGATACTTGCGAGACAAGTTATAGCGATACCTCAACACTCGATTCCTTATAGCTTCCATGTTCTTCCTCGTTTTTGCTCCTCCTCTTCTTCTGCTTCGCCAAGTTCAAAGCTATTCATTGGAGGTTCGAATGAGTTATATATAGTGTGTTACAGTATACACAATTTAGATGATAAAGTTATGATTTTGATATATACCCGTTTGCAGGATTATCTTACTCCGTTGACGAACAAAATCTCAAAGACGCTTTCTCTTCCTTCGGGGAGGTCAACGAAGGTAAGAGTTTTGGTTTTTGGTCGTCATCTTTAAACTCCTCCAGGTGTTCGATGAAATGCCTGAATGAAACATTTGGCTTGGACTTTTATTCTGCATATGTGTTAAGTTTATTAATGCTGAGCTTGAGTTGCCACTTAGTGTATGTATAATATATATTTGTGTGTTTTCAGTTAGGATTGCTTACGACAAGGGAACTGGGAGGTCAAGAGGGTTCGGTTTTGTTGATTTTGCAGAGAAAGACGATGCTCTGTCTGCAAAACACGCCATGGATGGGAAGGTAAAGATTAAGAAGAGGATTTTTTTTTTGCTTTTGCCATCACTATGAATGGTGTTGTTAAGTAATATATCTTTTTTACAGGGATTATTGGGTCGGCCATTGAGAATAAGTTTTGCACTTGAGAGGGTGCGTGGTGGTCCTGTGGTTGTTCAACGTTTTGGGAAACCCAAGAGCGACAGAGAGTAGGTCCTTCAAGTGATCTCCGCAACAGAGATCTTTCATGACTCTTGAACCAAATGATTGTTTGTATAAAATCATGGTTGAGTCTTTTGTTTAGTTTTGTGGTGTAACTTCTAACAATGGATTATATGATATCAGAAATTTTAGTGTGAAAGAAGTTGGTGCTTATATGATTATAAAGATTTTACAGAGAGATTAAGAGTAGTTTATTGACTTGTGCTAAACAGCAAAGCGATTAAGGATTGAGGAAGACAATGAATGAAGAAACATTGGATTTATTCATGATGAAAAAGAAGAAAGAATAGGAATTTGGGGAAGAGATCCACTCAAGGTATGTGTTTTCAGGACATTGGCATCGGTTTGTTCTCTAAAAAGGATCTGAAAATAATAAAGGCATGACGAGGACGATGTAGAGGCACTTCATGCCCAGCTCCCGCCACTGTCACTAATGTAAGTCCTTTGTATACTTGACTCCATCCACCAACCTACACATTACAATACATTTATACCTCAAAATCAGTTTCTGCTTTCTGCATATATATTAACTATAAACGAAGCTCAAGTTTTCTCACCTTGCCATGATCATACCACGGATACCAGTTTGTGATAGTTGCCAGCTTCAATGCATCTATTGAGTATCTGGTTGCAGTTATAGGAACCACCGCATCTGTATCTCCACTGGATATCATTTAAGGAAAGATTGATCAAGAAACCTTCATTTGCTATTAAAGGGTAACATCAATACAAATTGGTACCTGAAGACCCAAATTTTGAGACCTGCAGCTATCAGTTCTCTGTATATTGGTAGCATAGAAAGAGGGGAATCTGTCCAATAGTTTCCTACAATATCACTGCAAAGAAACCAAAACTTTCAATCAATATAGACATTAGACCGTTTGATACAATCAGAAGTAGAAACTTTTCTAGACCTGCATGATTTCCAAGGGTAAGATAAGCGAGTAACATTTGCATGTAGAGCCTTCTGAACTTCCACACGGTTAAAGTACACATTCGAATACCTCTCTGTACAAGGATCATAAGCTCTTGACATCCATGGCTGAGTTTATCCAACACAAAGTGTATCATTAGCACCCCCCAAAAAAAACAAACAGAAAGAACCAATTCAAAATGTTCTCTGATGCTTGAAACTTACATAGCGACCTCTTAAGAAGCTTTTGAGTTGTACAGTATTGTTGCAAGGTTTGGTGAAAATGCTGTACGGATCGATGTTTCCTTGCTCTAGTTCAGCACTTCTCAAAGCTTCCATACACTGCAGTGAAGGATGCTGGGAAGATACAGAGTAGCAGGCTTTCTTTAGTTGGTGATAAGTGGAATCAGATATGAGACCATGATTCCACCAATACTCAAATGTTCCTATGTAATCATGATAGTCATCTGTAACAGCATTTCCCACCTGAATAAGCACACATTTAAAAAAAAATCCCCAAAAAGTTTACAATCTTTTGTACAAATGTCTTGAAATGTTTTTTTTCTTTCAAATCTTTACCATAAAACCTTTGAGGTTTATAGCTGGGTTCTTGAATCCCTTGTTTCTTTCATGGACAAGTTTAGACAGCTGAGGAACAAAATGACCAGCATAGCTTTCTCCCACAATGTAAAAGTCTCTATGTTTGTATTGTGGAAACCTCTCAAACCAGTTTACAAGAAATCTATATGAATCTTCAGCTGCAGATTCATCAAGACAGGATCAATTCAAGAGGCCTGAAAATAAGGTTATGAGACAGCAAAGAGTTGTTACCAGTTCTCTGATCACCAGTTGTGTAAAGATCTGAAGTTGAGTTTGTATATGAGAAACCAACTCCAGCAGGAGACTCCAAGAAAAGCAAGTTGGCCACTGAGAAAAAAAAGAAAACAAATCTGAGGAGAGAGCCAATTCATTGGAGAGAGACTTGTAGAAAGATTCTCTTACATTTGTTCCAAGCATAGAGTTTGTTATGAAGAGTCTTCCCATCAGACCCAACACGAAAAGGACCAACTTCTTCAGCAGCACCATAAGCAACAGAGGAACAACCTGGACCTCCATTGAGCCACAGAACCAAAGGACGAGACTTTGGTTCACGGGTCGTTGGAGACTCGACCAGCCAGTAGAACAAAGCTCTTCCACGTTCTTCATTCACAGTGATGTAGCCTGAGTACTGTCTGAAATCGACATTACTAGGTTGACCAGGTAAGTTGGTGATCCTGTCTCTCTTTTGTTCTTCTACGTATGTGGAAGAAGAGACAAAGGTTGAAGAGAGTGTGAGTGAGAGAGAGATTAGTAGAAGAAGAAGAGAGTAATCCATGAAGTCAGATCTAAGAGATTTAGATCTGGAACTGTTGGATTCTCCTCACGATTTGGAAGATTTTTCAGAGAGGGAGTGTAGGAGACAACATTTAATGTTCTCGAAGTCAAACTTTTATTACAGCTACTTAACAGATCAGTTCACCACTAGCTAACTGAGAAACTGAAATTCTTTGACTGTTTGACCAAAACAAATACTATTATATTCCCTCCATTTTTTAAAATATATATTATGTTTGAATTTTTTTTTTTACAAAGAAAACATTTAAATTTCAATAATAGATATTTTGTATGATTAACTATTTTTCACAATTTTTAATCAATTAAAATTCATTAATCACAATTAGTTTCTTTAAAATTATAGTATAACATTACTACATGATAAAAAATACACTGAAAACATGGCAAAATATATCTTTTTCTAAAACATAGCTCGTTTTGAAACAGAAATAGTAGTTTTTTTTAGTTGAACGAAGCATAATTAATCCATCAGATGAACAACATCAACGACTAATAAGAATCTGAATTTTTTAAGATATTGTCATATATTCGTCTTGTCAAAAGCAAATTTAAATTCAGTAGAACTTGGATAATATTGCTCTGTTAAATACTTTGATAGTTAGTTACTTGGTTTAGTTTAACTACTAGAATAATCTCAACTCTAATTAACTTTTACTGAATAACTGATGATACTTCAAACATGGTCTATATATACACACACCTCACGACCAAACTGCAATAATATAGAGAAAACGACTAAATTCCATGTTGTTCTTAATTGGATGGGGATCAAAAGTTATCAAGTGCAAATAGGAGAAACGTGTCCTCGTGTGTCCAACTTCACATTGGAGCATGAAGCTGTGGAGACGACATCTTGTTGAGTTTGGTCGACCAACTTAACGTTTTGCATTGAAATGCCTTGACATGGGATGCTCTTGCTACATTCAAATTTCACAGCTACGGGTATTGAGCTTGTCCCTTGTATGTTTTTGTACAGCACATTGCTCACTTGCACCGCAGATTTCTACAACATATCTCATTATCAGTTTTTATTGTTATTGTAACTACAAAAGATTTGTTTATTTGGTCCAAACCTGTTGGGGACATGCTTCAACACGATCACAATAGTCTTGGTTGATGATTATTGGGTTTGTAACGTTTTTCATTATAATATCTTGGAATATGATGTTCTTTGCTATTCCATGTCCTCCCTGTTCATGAATAGTAGTAATTATGCCTTTGTTAATTAATTAGAACATCATCCTAAAGTTTAATTTATAAATAACACAAATAATGGTAAACTAGCTTAAATGTTGGAGATTTACCTGCCAAGTCTTGATTCTGACACCATTAGTGGTTCCTATAAGAGTCACCTTGTTGACTACCACATTTGAAACATATGCTTCTGAGTTGTTTGCTCCCAAACTCCCAATGCTATACAAAAAAAAACAGTAATATTGAGATATTACGTAGTCAAATACATGGCTTAACCTATATTCATTAAAAATTGACATATATATATAGAGAGAGGCCAAATAAAATGCTTTAAGCGCCTTAAATCATTTTAAAAACATTGAATCTAACTTTACTGTATATTTTAGTAACATGTAGCATCGAATTATTTTGAGCAATTCATCTTTTTTTTTTTTTTATTAAAATCGTTGCTTTCAAGTTGATAAAAATTAGTTGGTAACTCCCCAACAAAGAAGTTGACAAATAGAATGTTGGTATATAATATGTTTGCTAAAGATAAGATGAAAAGGAAAACTTTAGGTGAAAATAAGGAGAGAGATGGTTAGACCTGATTCCATGACCCGGTCCGCATGTAATGCCCGTCGCTCTCACATTCTCCGACCCACTCACTATCGATATACAATCATCACCTTCAATCACCAAAAACAAACCCAAAACATTACTATTTATTATCCAAAAGAAAGCAAACAAATACTATATATATATCTCAGTTTTTTTCCCTTTACTATATGAAATAAAAAATTCAAAAAGAGAAGAAATTCGAGTGTAAATTCAAGTACATTATAATATCTAAAAAAAAAAAATTATTACCAGTCCGGATGATAGAGTCTTGAATGAGGATATTACGAGTACCGGTAACGTGAATGCCATCGGTGTTAGGACTATCACCCGGAGAGGTGACCATAAGATTTAAAGCCTTCACGTTTTCGCAATCTTGAAACGTCATATGCATTTGCTGTGCGTTTTCCAACCTAATGTTACTTACCATCAAGTTATTGCATTCCACAAACGTAACCGCCTGCCACATTAGTTTATTTAATTCACATTCATTGATTATATAATATTTATAAGTTGCAATAAGGTAATGGCGTTTGATTTTCTCACCGTTGGAGCACCCAGGCATGGCTGTTTAACAAAAAGAAAATGGTATTCAATATCAGTTTCTAGAGTTTTAAGTCCTTTATAAGACAATTATCAAAATTAGGAAGAACTTACAAGATTAGGATTGATCTTGCAAGATTGTGGCCACCATTTATTTCCATTACCGTCGATGCGTCCACCGCCTTCAACACGAAGGTTATTGACAGCTTCATATACAATCCAGAGCCTACGTTCCTTGTAGGCTGATGGATCTTTCCATGCCTCAATCTTTCCGTAAATCTAACTCATAAAAAGTTGATGAAACATTATAAACATTAAAACAATAACTAAGCATATACTTGCATTGGTTTATGTATCATACCTTAAAAACAATCAATGATGATTTGCATGGACCGGAGAATTTGACCGACTTAAGAGTGTAAGCTCTATTTTTAGGAACCACGACGTAAACTGTCCCGGTTGATGAACAAGCTGCTTTCCAAGCTTTCTTGAATGCCTACGATATATTTCATTTCACATCGATTATATATTAATATTTTGATTGTATGTTTTCTATAAAAAGAAAAATTACTCTCTACGTTTCATTTTAGTTGTCGTTTTAAGTTTTTACACACATATTAGAAAACAAATAATTTTACATATTTTCAAAATAAAAACACCATTATCTATACGCCTATCACATTTCAACCAATGAAAAAATAAAATGACATTTAAAATTAATAAATTTTGCATTGAAATTATAACTGACACTTATTTTAAAACGAAAATTTTACTCTAAAACGACATCTAATTTGAAACGGAAGGAGTATATGTTTACCTGAGAATCGTCGTTTCCATTGGCTTTAGCACCGAAAGCATTGACGTTAAAAGCTCGAGGAGAAGATGCAGGAGCATATCCATTGCGATTTTTCATGTGATTGTTGCGTGTAATGTGACCATGTAGATGATTGGTTTCAAGATAAACATCGGGAGACATTGACGGATCATATCTAGGATCAAAAGGGTAGCTACTGGAACAAGAACGAAGAGACGTTATGAGAACTGCTAATAAGATTATTGTCTTTTGATACATTTTTGAGGGGTATCTCAAAGTTAGATTAAGGTTGGGTTTGACGTTAAAAAATGATGAGGGAAGGAATGAGTGATGTGTCATAGAGAATACAAAAGTGCTTGTATTTATAGAGGTGAAAGAGGGAGACAAAAAAGTATAAAGTTGAATGAGATTTGGACGAAAATGTATTCGTTATAATTCCTCACTTTCATTACTCAAATCGTTTCCGAAAAATTGTACGGTGACGTTTATTTTAGTTTGATTAATACTACACTAAAGGCACTTTGACAGAAAATTGAATGAGGATCATTTAAACATTCCCCTAACTTTAATTTTATAAGCAGATAAAATCATTTGCGTTTTTTAGGATAAAACAAAAATAAAAAATCAATGTTTTATTTTGTGTAAATGTTAAATTCATACAAAAAAACTCAATGTTGGTCTTTTCAAAACAAGTTATCAAATAGAAATTGTCTTTCTGACGTCATGTTACCTCATAGCACTTCTTCAGGACTGTCACTGACTTCACCATTTTGTTGATTAGATCGTTTTAGGGCACTGAATTAAAGTCTAAAGGTAAGGTTTTGAAAATGTTGGTTTGTTATTTTTTTTGACAAATATGTTTTTTTTTAACTTAAAATTTTGGTTTGTTATTTTCACTTACAAAGATTTCCAGATATATCTTTTACAAGAACATGTGCTAGGCTTTTATTTGTATTTTAAGTTAATCATGTTGTAAAGCATTATATTGAGTTATATTTTAATTATTAGTTTGAACTGTTTGTTAATATGACTATATTTACTAACCAATATTCGAAATAGGCATAGGTGAATTGGTTAATAGACCGTAAATTTCTTATGTGATGGGTAAATTTGGCTAAAATTTTGAAAGTTCTGGTCATATCCCAAAATTCATGGGTAAGAGAACATGAATGTAAATAATTTCATATAAATAGTTTTTATTTTTAAACTGATAATGGAAGAGCTAATCTCGGCCTAAACAGAGAAAGTAAGTATTGACTTTAAGTTTGAGTTAGGTTATCTGCAAATAACTGAAATAAGTCTCCCAAGTAAAAGCAGTTTTGTTGGTTAAAGCTTTAACTTCAACTTTGTTAGTTATTTCCTCAATCCAACCCTTACATTTTCATACTTCAGCCTCAGATCATTTGAAGTCGAATATTCGTCGCCAATTAGAAAACAATTCAAATCTTATAGTATATGATTGTTTTCTCTTCAATATTTGTTGTATTGTGGTCAAAGTATATCTTTTGTGTTTTCGGTAAGAAACCAAATTCACGTTTACTTCTTTTTTCGGTGTTACCTCTTCGGTGGAAAAGTAATGTCCGTAAACAAGAAGAATTTCAACTACGCACAGTTATATATATATTTAGAAATACTAGCAAAAAAAAATATATTTTTGAAAAATCATCAAGATTGTATCACGTCCTGTATGATGACCAAAAATGTGTATGATTTAAATAGAAAAAATAATATAACATGTTGTTTTGGTACGTGAACCAACGTACAGTGATAGTAGGCAGAACTAACGAAAAGAGGGAAGATGGATAATTGGTAAACTATGTCAAAGGTTAAGTTAGAGTGGGTTTAGATTGTTGCATTGGATTAGGATTTTGCGTGTGACGTTATTTCTTACTCTACTACTTGTGTTGCGTTGGTGATGATAATATTACACCAAACCAGAAATAACGCTAATGTGGAGGTGTTTGCTTTTTTTTTTTTGTCACAATTTTTACTTTAGCTCTTTAGAATCTATGTGATATATTGCAAACATGTTACAACGAATAAACTGATCTTCTTCACTATTTTCCTGACGTGATTACCTTGTCAAGGGTGACATCATTTCCATTTTCGTTTCGTTTTTTTCTTCTCTCATTCTCATTGAGAACATCCCACTGAAACCAAATACATACGGTTAGTGTGAAAAAAACATAACAAAACTGGAAGTAGTATAAATTTTTGTATAAATTTATATTCTCTCGTCCAACTGGTTAAGGAAATGCACTACTTTTTTTTTTAATTGTCATAAGAATTTACGGAGAAGCTGATCGGTTCTGTCTGTATAAAGCCAATTTCATAAACAAACAGAAAAAAAAAAAAAAACAAGAACCCACACAACTTCTTCAAGAAAACTAGTTGCAGTCTCCACTTAAACGCTATCCAAAGCATCACTCTGCAACTCATCTTTGTTTCTTGGAGGAACCAATCTTTCCGTTGCAAGTCTCTCCTCTAGAGCTCTTGCTCCTCTTTCTCTGCAGCAACAAGATTTTTTTGAAAGGTCAAAAGAAGGTCGGTTTTGTTTTTGAGAACCAGATATAGTTTTCTCTTTGGATTTTAATAAAAATGATGATGACAATTGACAAGCCAGGACTGTTTATTCTTAGAAACTGAATGAATAAGATCATTCATTATTAACCAAATCATAGATTATGTTTCAACAATGTCTAGCCAAGAAAAGGTTTATACTAATGTTTAAATAAATGATCTGCATTAGGTCCCAATAGTTCTGGGCATTTGCATCTAATCTACCATTAGTAGAGCATGAAAGGGATACGAAAGTAAAAAAAGAAAGTATTTTACCTCCTCCTGGAAGCTTCAGCAGAGTCAGAGCCGGGTAATGGAGCACCGCTGGTAGTATAACCATTGTCTTCGCTGGTCGCATTTGTTCGTCCACAAAGCATCCGATGGAATATTGAGGCTATAGGGTCAATTACCGGTCTGCAATTTATTGAGAAAAGCAAAAATTTACAAACAGCAAGTAAGTAAATTATTACTCTGTGGTCCAACTCAAAAAGAAGAGAAATATTCTTTCACCTGACGAACTCAGGAAAGAAAGTGGAGAAGGCAAAGTCATCACTCGGATCACCTCTGAGCTTTGTTTCAGGCCTCCTCTGCAAGTATCTGAGGTATAACCAGCCCATATATGTACCAAATATCAAAGTGGGAAGGTATGCTGCTGAATTCAGTGTGAAGAAGCTTGACGCTATTGACAAAGCTAGCATAATCGAGGGCAACCACTGCATACATATACCAGAAGCAAGAATAGGATGTGAGCACTTCGTCGACTAGCCCAGGTTACACTAAGAAAATGTCAAAGATTTTATCACTTGACTAGAAAGCAAAAAAAAAGACGGATTATCACCTTTGCTTTTATCTTTAAGAACAATACCTCCTGGTCAGGTATTATCTGCTTCATCCCGACAAGAAGGCCAGCCAAGACACCATGAAAACCTGCAAAGGGCATATATCTAGCCACGAGACAACAACACAAAGAATTAAAACTTAAATGATTTGGACTTAATTTTTCACATCCCTTCATACTAAAGTGAGAGCATATAATAAAACAAGAAGAAACATAAAGAGTACTTACAGGTAGATTTCGAGCCTGGTTATATAGTATAAAGCAATGGCTGTAACGAAAACGCAGAGATACGTAAGAAAGTTCACGACGAAGATGAACTTAAGAAACTCCTTGGAACCCCATACAGGCTCAAGAAACTTCCCCATAAAGAGTAGAGAAACCGTGCTAAAGACAACCTGCAACAATTTGCAAAACAGTCACTCAAACACTAGAAATCAAACAATCTGGATCACATACTAACAAACTGAAGCAGAGAAACCAAAAAAAAAGAAGCATTACCCCATATACAGAGAGTTCAAAATAGCCACTTGTAATCAGATTCCATCCAAAAGGAATAGTCCTATAATAAAAAAAAAAAAAAGAAGAGAGTGTAACAAATCAGTAACTGCCATTGTAAATAATAGTTGAAGACCTGATTACACTATGCAAGGAGCATAACAATAATTATTGCACAGTGAAAATTTTGAAGAACAATCAGGTAAATGTTCCACTTGAGCATAAAATTCGCATCCTATGTACTGATTTAACCTAATAGGAACCCTAATTTTCTCCAATCAGTTCAAAATCAAAATGTACCTCGCGGGAATGAGAGCGAGGTAAGTGACGGTGGCGGGAACGAAGTGAACCAAGAGGTGACCTACCACAAGCACGAGAGCGAGTCCTTTGCAGAGTTTGGTGAAATTGGTGAACATACTCGTCGCTCCTCCCTGAATCAAATCACAACAGATCAGAGACGACGATTCGATACAAAAGAAGGTAATCAAAACGAATGTTCGATCAAAATTCTCGTTAGATCTTACGTACCGGAGAGCTCATGTCGCCGGTGTATCGGAGAGAGAGAGAGTGTGTGTGTGACGGATCTGAGATTTTTGACGACGGATCTCGTCGACTATAGCTGGACCTGGAGCTGGTGATTATTTATTTAATTGTACTGAACGTGTTAGTAGACTTGTTGGCTCATTATCTCAATTAATAAATAAAGGTATACAGTAATTATTTTCAACATCAAAGATTAACAAATTATGTGTGGTAAATTCATGTTTACATGTTTTTACACATAATAAAAGTTATTAATAAATATATTATTTTTGTATTTACCAATATTTGATGACTCTAAACTAATGATAGTATTCTTAGAAAGAATTTTTTTTTTTGAAATTAGCAATTCACCATTATTAATGAATTAATATTGCATAAAAACTTAAAACAAGCATTTTAGAACTAAATTTATTTCAAAATATTTATCTTTTAGGAAATTCAGAAAATTTTAAGTAATTGTTCCAGTTTATTCATGCTAATTTTGTTATTTAACCATCTTGTTATATATTAATCTAATTAATATATTCTAGGTTTTATATGTTTGCTTCATCAGGAAGTAGTGTGACACAGTTGCAACTTGTAATAATATTATCCTATGCTCAAAGGGAAAAGCAAATGGAACAAGATAAGTTCTTTTATGGTTCTGATTAAGAATCAATCTAAAACAACAAAATTAAGTATGAAGCTTAAGACATATATACAACTGAAACATGCATTACAATGTTAAAAGGAAAAACAGATTGAAACTCTTGATTGTTTTCATCATATTTGGATTGGTTCTAAAGAATCATCAAATCAAGTTCTATTTTTTTTACATAGGTTTTGAGGTGGATCAAGAAGAAACTAGCATATCTAACAAAAACAACAAAAAAAGAGGGAGAAAGAAGAGTATTAACAATCATTGAGTAAGAGGAAGACATTCAAGTTGTATCTCAAGAACACCTCTCTCCACTTTTTGAAGCCTAAGTGATATGTCTTGTTTCACTTTCCCTTCTTCCTGTGATATTATCCCATCACTCACCAATGTGTTCTCTTTGCTCGCCACCCAACTCCCCAACTGCATCGGCTCTTTGATGCTTGATTTCTCGTAAGCTTTTGCTGCATTCACTAATGGTTGTATGTCTATCTCTGCCTCTCCCATAAAATCATCTGTCGTGAACGCATCCTTGTCGTACACTAGCTGCAAAAATAAGTTACATGTTATGAGTTACGGTTATTATTCTTCAAACTTACAAGTTAAAATAAACATGTGCACATACCACTTTGAGAGGAGGCATCTGCTCAGGTATAGAAAGCATTAGTGTCTCATTCCACACGGGATTCAAGTTGTTCTTTATCACCCTTGTTTTTACTGACTTCAACAACATAAAGAAAAAGAGAATCAGAACTAGTTTCCATGAGAGTTTAATTTACATTATACAAGTGTAGAGAGAAAGAATATTACAGAGAGCTTACTTGTTGTCCAAGAGAAATGATAACATAAGGATCGCTAGTCATCACATCTCGAACCGCAAGGTTTGTTCCTTTAACCACATTAACTTTAATCAATCCGACAAACTCAACCATACCTGCCTATAAACACACCCACAATAAACTTAGTCACAGTTATTACCTAAACATATGTATGTCTACTGGTTGTTTACCAGAGAATTGCTTTTCTTTGGACCTTTGTGATCAGATTCTCTTCTTCCCCAGCTATTCCTAAAAGCATTACCAATACGTTTTTTTGCAGAACATAAAGACGGTGGTGTGTTATTTAGTATGCTAGGCTGCTGATAAGTGCACAAAGCATCATATTGTGGATCCATAAACTGGTGCAGCTCATATTTCTTCCTGCAGATTTAAGATATAAACAATGAGATGATTATACATAATATTATAACCAAATTATAATTAAAAATATGTTACCTGATGAAATCATTGCGTTCTTCATTATTGGAATCAGGTTTTGGTTTCTTTAACTGATCCATGTTGCAAGCTTCGAATCTCTGGTTCACTGCATTGTTTCCACCGTACCCTACAAGCATATCAACTTGCTCATCTGTCCACTCATCTAGCTTAACTGAAAAAACCTGTCATTAACGGTCAAATCTATTAAAAGGCTCTAAACATTAAAAAAAAAAAAAGCAGAGAGAAGCCAGATTGTGATGAGAAAGAGTACCTTTGATATATGAACTCCGAGGCTTCTGTGTATACCAGAACACTTTATGCAAATAAATACACCAAGACTTAAAGATCTACACAACATCATAGAAAAATGAATCAACCCATCAATAGAAAAAATGTACAAGTTCTCAAGTTCACACACTTATATGAATCAGCTTACACCCATTTAGGTTCAGGAGATCCACAGTCAGCACAATACTTGTTACCAGGTTGCTTCAGCAACTTCTCTAACCGTTCTCTGGGATCTAAAATGCCAAACAGGACATGAGATTGTCTCCAACTAACACTGTAACAATCTGTAGAATGTTGCAGGAGATCATCTATATCTTTAACTTAGAAGAGTTTAGTTATTACCAGAAGTTGATGTCTGCAAATCCTTTCGAAGAGTCCCTCTTGGTGTCTCTAAACATAAAAGGTCATATAAGCAAGCATGCGACCCTGAAAAAAACAAAGCCAATATTTTGAAACCCTAATAAAAAGGTTTTCATAGGAAAGACTTGGAGGAGAGTGATATGATTGTGATGGATACCAGAAGAAACTTGGATAGGATTGACATTTTCTTGGCCGAGAGACATTTCGAGACTAGAGCCAAGATAACAACGAGAACACGCTAAATGTTCAGACAAGAACTTTGACATTCTAACAGGTTTTGTCCTAAAGATTTCACTACATCCCTTGAAGCGTCATTGCATTGTCAGACAACAAGAAACTTAATAAAAATAAGAGAGAACACTTGAGTCGATTTTGAATTTTGTCTAAGAATTAGTTGAGTATTTTGGTAGAGGAGGGAGAGCAACAGATTGCGTTTGGTATAACTACCAGAGGAGAGGAAACGTCTAACCGAAGAAAAAAACGACAAAATTACGAAATAATTTGGAGGAAAATAGTTTAGAAATTGCATTATCCTGCTGACAATAGATGGAGAAACTATGATTAGGTGTGTGTGTTTTTTGTTTTATATGTCGGCCAGAGATGAGATGAGGATAAAGAAACAATACCAATGAGATTAGATTTTCTTTTGAGAAAATATTGTAATTGACACGTCGTTAAACAATTATTAATTGCAAAACAACCTTACAAATCTCTTTATTTAGAAGCGCATCATGACAGAACCACATACAAAGACAAACCAGTTTGTATATAGACCTAACTTAATGCACAAGCATTATTGTCTGGTCAAAATATACGACAAAAAGTTCTTCAAAGTGTTTTTCCATTTTCTGGTACGAATATATTAAAATATCCAACTTTTCTCAATTATTTAACGAGACATGATGTCTTTTGATATGCTCATAGCAGTAGTGGACCCATCTTGTGATCATTATTGGGTTAATTTGCCAAATAACCAAGTTTCAATAATCTGTTAAGAATATAGCACCTATATGCAGAAAATTAGATTTTACAATATTTGTTCCTCTTTTTTCCTGTTTTATCATTTATTTTTACCGGTAGCCTGTAAAAACAATACATAAAGGTCGAGGTTATGACATTTTTGGTAGGAGAAAGCGATAATGGTGGAGACAGTAATCTAGAAGAAACAGCGGTGATAAAACCAGAAGAAACGGCAACGGTGGAGACGACAATCTAAAGGAAGATCATGGTAATTACGGAAGAATTCGTGATTATAAATACAGAGGATTCGGTGGTTTTTATATTTCTTATTGCTAGGTGACGGTTATGACAACGGTGGCTTATGGATTACAGATATAAAAGAAATAATAATGTGACAAAGAAGAAGAAGTTCAAAACAGATATAAATAGAATAGATCAGACTAGATAGTATAGTAAATGTTACTGAAATTACTAAATATAATAAAAATATAGTAAATAGATACAAGGAGGAGAAGAGGAGTACAGGGATAGCGATGGAGGGAGAAGAAGTGAAATGAAGAGAGATACTGTAACTATTCTATTCGTTTATCAAAGTAGAATAAAACAAAATAATCTATTTTTGTTTGAGAGATTTATCTTCTTTAAAAATGATAAAAATTAGAAAGCAGAAGAAGAGCCACCATATGAGTTAGAGAAGAAGAAAACACAAACTCTACTGAAACCATAAAATAGAGGTATATATGAATGGTATAAATGACGCGACAGTGGTTATGGAGAAAGTGGCGAAGGTGGTGGATGATGGAAGAAGAAATTGTTTGTTTTTTACAACCGGTTTATAGGGGTAATATAGTATATATGTTAGAAATATTAGAGATAGATTTTTTTTTGGTTAGATTCTTAATTTCACTTTATTTTTTAGTTATTCAACCAAATTTCCCATTATTATATAGTGACTTTTTTTTTGTAACTAATTATTATATAGTGACTTGGTGCCTAATCTAACTCTCTCTCAACTACCTTGCGTGTTTATATTTTTGTGTTCGAGGAAGTTTGCATAGCTTTTGACCACCATTTTTCATGGCCCAGCTTAGGTGCTTGACAATATTAAACACATAAAAACACATAGATTATACCCAAACACATGACAATTTTAAGATTAAACAAAGTTTAAGACAAGAAGATCTCTTTCATTTACAACTTTTTCCATATTGGTGACACCAAGATAACAATACTCTATTAGCACAATATGTACTTACATTACATCTTCCCCACTCATAACCTATACTAGCATATATGATCATCAGGTCTCACACATTACCATGCTTCCCATCACAGATTATCGCATACACATTCCCTGCATACCTGTGGATAATTCTCCAATAAGCATCACAAATAAAACTCCCAACAGAAAAAAAAAAATCATATTTTCCCAAATAAAGATAACAATTTGGTTTGTTAATAAGATAACAATTTGGTTAGTTAAATGCATTTTTTTCTTATTATTTCTCAAAATCAATATATACAAATCATATCTAGTTACACCAAATGATATACTAATATATATGTTGAAATTTTAAATCAATGAATGAAC